ACGCCCTTTTCCCTGTTTGCGAGGGCGAGTTCGATCATCACGGTGAGATACCATTGCAGAAGAATCATTAACAGAAGCAGGTGTGTCGGGGTTGAGTTTTGCTGGTATACGCAAAAGAATGGAGCAGGTCGATGTCAAGGTGGGGACAACCGGAGAACCCAAAATCTGATCACGAATATGTGAATATTGATCAGCAAGTCCGTGTAATGCCCCTAGCATGAAGAACTTTGATCGTTGTCCTATCTCGGTGGCAGGGTCGGGGGAAGGAGGCAATAACTCATTGAACTCATGAAAAAGAGCATGAATTTTGCCCATATAATCAGTCATAGAATCTTGATGTTTAGAGGCAATAACATCTATAAATTTAGAACAGACATCATAGAGACGTTGAGTATCATTGGTGTATAATAACTTGGCATGTTCCCATATTTTGGCACATGTTTCGTAGGAACGAAAAATTTGTCTTAACGAAGGATCAAGAGTACCCTTGAGAACCACGCATAATTGAACATCAATGGTGTCCCAACGGTCTTCCTCACCAGGAGTGAGAGTAGGTGCTTTTGGGGCAAGATGATCAAGATACTTCTGACTCTTAAGCCATAATCTGACGTCTGATGACCATATGGCATAATTAGGGCCAGTTAACTTGTCAATGGATAAATGCACATTAACATAGTTAGTGTAAATGGAAGGATCAGACGCAGTACTGACAAAATTGGAAGTACTAAAAGGAGCAGAAGAACTCATAAAGGGCAGAGGCGATAGTGACAGCAGCGTGAACCAGTACACCAGGTAAGTTCCCAGGAAAGAGAGGTGAGTCACTATTGGACACGCTTAAATACCAAGTCTTTCATTGTCAGAACTTTCCTAGACATGCACTTTCACACTACCAAATAACCGACAGCGATAGCGGCGGTGGTGACGGCTTCAATAGTGGTCAAAGGCGAAAAAAAAAATTTCAAAATAACCTTAAGCTCTAGATACCATGTTGAATATAGAAGAAATAGAGTTTGAGATTAATCTCCCTTGTGTATAAATCACACATAGGGTAGTCTATTTATAGTAGAGAGATACAACTAAAAGAGTAACTGAAAGTAACAGAATAAACAGAAGATATTATTTGATATTATGGTTAATATCTAACAATATCTTAACAATATTAAATAATATCTAAACAATATCTAACAGAGGCGATTAAGAAAAATAGAACATGAGAATTAGTTAAATTGCCACAAGATAAACTACCTATTGATGTTAAGTGGGTTTTCAAGCTAAAGTTGAAACCTGATGGAAGTGTGTCCAAGGATAAGGCCAGATTGGTAGCAAAGGGCTTCCTACAGCAGGAAGGAATTGACCACACAGAGGTATTTGCTCCTGTAGCTAGGATAGAGACCGTGAGACTAGTTACAACAGTAACAAGTTCTAAAGCCTGGAAGATGGTTTAAATGGATGTGAAGTCAGCCTTCCTTAATGGCCCACTAGAAGAGGAGGTGTATATTGTACAACCACTTGATTTTGAGAAAGAAGGGAGAAAGCACCTTGTGTACAGATTAAGAAAGGCCTTATATGGGCTCAAACAAGCCCCTAGAGCATGGAACATGTTGATTGATATAGTTCTAGCCAAACTAGGATTTGTGAAATGCACAGTTGAATTTGGTGTGTATGTGAAAAACATAAGTCATACAAATACACTCATTGTGTGCTTATATGTTAACGACTTAATTATTACAGGAAATGAAGATGCAGAGATTGGAGAATTTAAAGAAAAGATGAAGGCTGAGTTTGAGATGACAAATTTAGGAACACTGAGTTATTTCCTTGGGCTAGAGTTTGTACATACTCACAGTGGAGTGTTTTTACACCAGAAGAAATATTCACAAGAGATTTTGAAGAGATTCAAGATGGAAGAGTGCAATGAGGCTATAATTCCAGTGCTACCTGGAGTAAAATTGACTGAAGAAAATGAGGCTGAAGTGGTAGATGGAACTTTATACAAGCAGATAGTAGGGTCACTTAGGTTTTTGTGTAATAACAGGCCAGATTTGAGCTACAGAGTAGGCTTAATCAGCAGATTCATACATGACCGTAGAACACACCACCTGATAGCTGCTAAACACATCTTGAGATATCTATAAGGCATAGATTGGGGAATTTTTTTCCAAAAGCTGATGAGCAGAATGGAGCAGTGTTGGAGGCATTTTCGGATTCAGACTGGTGTGGAGATAGAGTTGAGAGAAAAAGTACCTATGGATACTTATTCAGATATTTGAACGCACCAATTTCTTGGTGCTAAAAGAAGCAAAATATTATGACCTTATCATCATGTGAAGCAGAGTACATAGCTACCTTAGAAGCAGCTTGTCAGAGTTTGTGGCTGGAAGGAATTCTAAAGGAGCTGAAGTTGGATTACAGAAAACCAGTTCAATTCAACATTGACAATAAATTTGCAATTAATTTGTCTAAAAATCCTACACTACACAGAAGGAGCAAGCACATTGATATGAAGTTTCATTTCCTTCGTGATCAAGTGAGCAAGGAGAAACTAATACTAGTCTACTGCAACACATAAGAACAAACAGCGGACATCTTTACCAAACCACTGAAGCAAACATGGTTTGCCGAGCTTAAGGAGAAACTGGGAATGACTAGATTAGGATTTTGGCTTAAGGGGGGTGTTGACTATTTTTTTGTAACCCGAAACCGTATAAAAAAAAACTATTGAGACTAACAGATTTCTAGAAACAGAACTAGACACTTTAAATACTTTCATTTCATGTAAATAGAGGCAGAGATTAATAAAGTTTTGGTTTTGAATACTTGTCTTCCAAGAATCTTTTCTCTTTGTTGTACGATTGACACAAACCTTGCAAAATAAAAAGAAAACGTGATTAGTGAAGCAGAGAGAAGATTAATCGGTGGTGAAGTAGAGAAGAGATTAATCGGTGATGAAGTAGAGAGAATAGTAATTGGTAGTGAAACAGAGAAAAGATTAATCGGTAGTGAAACAGAAAGGAGTTGATCGGTGGAAAAGAAGACTGCAGAAGAGAGAGAAGAAAAACAAAAATGTCATAGAGATAAAAAAAGGAAATAAATATTTCTTCAATGAATGAGTTGATAAACAGTAAACGATCCAACAAATAATACTTTTATGTAAAAAAATAAAAAATAAACCATTAAATGTAACAAAAGAAAACAAAATAACAACAATTCTAAAACTGAAGGAAAAGTGGAAAAATTTCTAATGTAATAAAAAGAAAAAACTAGAAAGTGTCGTGAAAAACCTATATGATAATAACATTATTCTAAAATATTTATGCGCCAGAAAATTTGGAAGAGTTGGGTGAAGAATACAATGCTGTGTGTTGGTCCCACCGGAACTTCATCGTGGCTGGGTTTGCTTGACGGTGCCGACCTATATATGCCAAAACTAGATTAGACCAAGAAATGATCAGCCCCATAGCTTTTCAATATTTATTAAGAAAGTATTAATGTTCTGAATTTTTTCACTCTTATATGTCAAAACTTTACTAAACCGATTATTTTTACTATATTTTTAAAATTTATTTATTATATATTTTTATTAGTTTTTAATACTACCAAATTTTAATACTTATCTATTATACTTGATAAAATTAATTTATACCTTAGCCAAAAAAATTTAAATTAGCTCTAAAATATGTTATAAACTATAAACTGAAAAAGTTAAAAGTTAAAACTATGTGGTGGTATTAACTACCATCTTTTTCTCACATTTGTAGATGCTCAATGAATAAATATTTGACAGGGGTAAAAGTATTAGTATATTTAGACTAAAATGTCCTTATCAATGCATTTTTTTATACTTGCACCACCAGAATGAAAAAAAAAAGGTGTATTCGAGAAAAAAATATCAATAAACTTTAAAATTATAGAATATAAATTTATTTGAAGATGAATATAAATAACATAAAACAATATATTTTATTTAAAAAAATGAGACAATACCCAACCCCAATGTTATTCCCATACACTCCTTCAATTTTACATTGATCGAATCGACGGTGATGTACCTCCAAAGTGTAGCCCTATATCACAGCCGTGACAATCTGTATTAGTCAAAATAGCACATGTGGATATAATAACTCATTTATTATGAATTTACGACATTCGCGAGCATTTGCATGTGGTCATAAGACACATTTGCTCCATTGCATAAAAATACTATCTGTCACTTTATCCGCAAATAGCTACAAACCAACTAGTCAAACGAAACGATGGAACTAAAATTGGAAAAAGTTTTAGAACTGAATAAAAAAAAAAAAAAAGCACGACCAGATGGGGATGTGCAATTAATTGTTTGTATTTTTGGTTGCATTCACGGCTTTTGCCTAAGAAAGCATGTGAGCATAGAGGGAATTGTCAGAAAAGAGAACGTGAGAATAATTGAATGACATCTAGAATAGTACCTCATCACACAAATAAATTTAATAATGTAATGAATGATAATTCGCATGTGCCATCGTTGCGTTGGCGAGTCTGGTCCCTTATTTAATGAATACTAATTTGGTGCTTAGAAATGACAATAAATGTTTCTAAAACAAATACAAAGTCTCTCTATCTCGCTCAACAAAATCCTTCTCTTTCAATTTAGTCTTGACCATTCAGTGCGTAAAGCAAGATACTAATGGCCAAAGTTATGTTTGTTTTGCTCAGCTTTCTCATATTATCTTGTTTCACAATTAATACTTGTGCCTTCTCACCTTCTGGATGGACCAGTGCACATGCCACCTTTTATGGAGGTAGCGATGCCTCTGGCACAATGGGTAAGTCAATGTAACTCTTAACATTATCTAAGTAGTTTCCTTGTTCTATAGTTTATTCCTTTAGGTATGTTCCTTGCAACAATATCACCATGGTACTGTGATGATTCTTAGTAGATTAATACACCAATTAGATGAAAACTATGTTTTGACATGTCACTAGACAACCCAAAAGAATCTTTTTCACTGAAAGTTTGCGGTATGTGTGAGAGTGTAGGAGGAGCTTGTGGGTATGGGAATCTATATTCAACAGGGTATGGAACTGATACAGCAGCATTAAGTACTGCTTTATTTAACGATGGAGCTTCATGTGGGGAGTGCTACGAAATCATGTGCGATTATCAAGCAGACCCCAGATGGTGCTTGAAAGGAGCATCTGTGACCATAACTGCCACAAACTTCTGCCCTCCCAATTTTGCTCTGCCCAACAACAATGGTGGGTGGTGCAACCCTCCTCTCAGACACTTTGATATGGCTGAACCCGCATGGGAAAAGATTGGTATCTACAGAGGAGGAATCGTGCCCGTATTGTTCCAAAGGTTTGAGCTTTATTCAATATCTTTGTATAATAATAGGAAAAAAAAAAAACTCAGATCCATCTTTTTGTAAGTTGTTCTTTCATTTCCATAATAAATTCTAACAAAATGAGAACTTCTACGATGAAAATTAGTGAGGTGAAAACCCTATTCTGACAGATAAAGCAACACTAAATACACCTACAACAAGATTGAATGAGATCCTCCCTTGTAGTGGTAGAGTTCAGTAGAAGAGAGAAAAACTGATGGAGTGTGTGGGATCCAAGTGTGAATTGAAGTTTATGCCACTCTAAAAATAGATACCTAATTAACGTTGTCTTGGTTGCAGGGTTCCATGCATGAAGAAGGGTGGGGTCAGGTTCAGTGTGAATGGGAGAGACTACTTTGAGCTTGTGCTGATCAGCAATGTGGGAGGGGCTGGATCTATCCAAGCTGTGTCCATCAAAGGCTCAAAAACTGGATGGATGACCATGTCAAGAAATTGGGGAGCTAATTGGCAATCCAATGCCTATTTGAATGGTCAATCTTTAACCTTCAGAGTCACAACAACCGATGGAGTTACCAAACTTTTTCAAGATGTGGTTCCACCAAATTGGGCTTTTGGCCAGAGTTTCCCTTCCAGTGTTCAGTTTTAAGGCCACAATGACTATTGAGTTGTGGGTTTTGGAGTTTCTGATGGACAAAACGGCAGAGGCGTGCTTGTTATTTTTTTGGAGCAGCCCGCCACCCTTCTCTTCTGCTTTTGAATTTGGTAAATATGGTAAAGACCAAACCCATGAACTTGATCGCCACAATGAAGAAGTCCAAATAGCCATTGCAATTATTGCGCCAATATTTATAAAGAATCATATATCAGAAGTAATCTAAGCCATGTAGAAATAAACATTCAGAGCTTGAATCAAATTATGAACTATTATAAAGTGCTGTATTGCGGAAATTCGGAAATGGGAACACTCTAATTCCCTGAAAAATTCTGTGTGTTATTGTAAGTGTTCAAGTTGTTTTTGCGAATTTGTTCTTCAGTTTCATCATACACATTACATCATTATTCTTTTGATTAAAATAAGTATTTCATCACGATTTTTTTTATTTTAAATAGTAACTGAATTGATTATTTTATGAAGTATAATTTTGTTGATGATAAATTAACAATGAAACAAATCATTATTTTTAAAAATTATATCATGATAAATTTAATAAAAGTAATTCATTTTATGATTCTAGTTATTATTATAAATGAACCATTTTATCGTAATTAATTCAATTTTGATTAAAAAAATATTTTGTATGGTACATGATTCAATTATACTACAAATGTTACATTACATTATATTATAAATAACTCAATTTTGATTGAAAAAATAATTTATATAATAAGTTGTTTAATTAATTAACTGCAACATAAGAGAATAAGTTGAAATTGTAGAAGAAAAAAAAGTGGCATTGAAAGGAATATGGGGTGTGAGTAGCACTTTCAACTTATTGAAGTGTACGAAGCCCATTAATATTTTGGTGAGACGAAACGCAGAATCTTGAATCCTATGCTGTATAATTGCTGACTAACGAGGTGGTTCTGTAAGCACCATACGAGTTACGATAGTGTTGCCCTATTTATCGAACTCTGCTAGTGCAAGGTGATTGTGCAGTTCTTTTTATCATTTAAATTTGAACAATAATAAAATGTCAACCATAAACAAAGACCAGATCATCAATGAATCAAACTGTTCAGAAACGAAACTACTGGACGAGACAGAACAAGAGGAAGAGGAAGAGGAAGACTTACAGAAGCTTCTGGTCCCTGACGTGCAGAATCTTCCCCTCACTCCTCCTTCCGCTGTTGAATCCAACTTTGCCACTTTCTTCGCCCTAGGTAATCCTTTTCACGGCTACATTACATTCTTTTCATAAACCCTAAACCTCGGTAATTCATTGTTTAATTAATTTTGAAGTTCAGATTTTATGAAGCCAGCTCACGATCAGTACGTTTACCGGCACGCCAATGGGTATAATATTCATTGCTTTGAGGTTTTACTTCGAATTGAATTGTGTTGGTATTTTGAAAAAAAAAATCATTTTCTGTAATTGTTGTTGCTACCTTAAAGCTTGTGTGTGATTGGGTTGGCTCCTTCCCACGTTGCTTTCAAGGATGAAGGTGGAATCACAGCCGTTGATTTCAATGTTGGGAAGTCTGATCGCAGCGAGATGAAAGTCACTGGAAAGCGGAAGAAGGTATATTTTCCTAATTTTGAATTTTCACGCTTTTTTGCTGTCTGTTTCTGGAAAGTCAAGTTTCTGGAAAGCGGAGGAACAATGAGACTATTTCGTGAAATTCTCTGCGTTGTAAAATGATTTTCTTTAATAGCTTCTTTATGCCTTGACATTCAGAATGCACAACACTTTGAGTCCAACACTGCTCTGTGTAAAATTTCTACCCAAAATGATACGTATATTGTAAGGTAAATTCTCTATTAGAACTCATCCATATGATCTGATGTTTATATATATTATATATATATATATATGTATATATATATATATGTATATATATATATATATACATATATATATATATATATATATATATATATCTGTTTGTGGCTGTGTTCTTAGCCAATTCCTCTTCTTTGTTTGTGGCTGTGTTCTTAGCCAATTCCTCTTCTTCCCGGGTCTCCTTTAAATAGCATAATTTGTGATTTTTTAGATGTTGCGTCAAAGGTTCCCTCTTGGAAGTGAATCAACAATTGATCAAGCAACCAGAACTACTTAATGTTTCGGTAAGACTAACTGTGCTCTTTTCCAGCCTGATTTTTTCACTTTAGATAAACCTTTCTTATAACAGGAGTAGTTATTCGGAATATTACATCAGAGAATTTTAAACATTTTATTGCCCCTTTACATCTTATGTTTTACAATGAGGCCAAACTGTGTTTGAACTGCTAACCTTCTTCATCATCAAATCTGTCTATTATTGTTATCTTTTCTAATTGAATCCATCCATTAGGCTTCCAATGACTACTTAAATGGGAGATTTTTAATTTTTAGTTTAAGTTTCAGTGTGAAGTATAGGGACTTTTTGCAGCAAGAGTACTTAGATATGTGGCACTTTCAAAAGATATTTTTGAGAGGTGCCATAATATAATGCAAGTAAAATGAAGAATAATACAGTTCATAAAGGAGGAAAAGAGATGTTTAGAGCTTGTGGTTACCGTAGTATAATTAAAAAATCCGTATTGTGATTTAATGGATGATAGAAACATGCACATAAGGTTCTAAAATATTCTTTAGTAGATGTGCACCTCATGGATCTAACCTAAGAAGGTTGATACCGTCTCATATCTTGTCAGAATCCATTAGGGAATGAAGCTAAACTATAACTGTTTGTGAATGGACGTGGTATAAGTTTGTCATAAAAGTTCAATTATTGGTGTAAATGTGTTAGCTAAGGAAGCAACTAAGACTGTAAATGCTATCCAGATTTTTGAGGTTCCTCCGCCTGATATTCTCAATGTATTGAGAGCTGATATGGCTCATACTGGGTTTCCAGGAGACTTCTTGCCCTCTTTTTTTTTTTTTCTGTAATTCACCAAAAATAAAAACTGTGTTAGACCGCTGGTATGCGCTACAAGAGGGAAGTTGGGAATAGTGGGCCACTAGGTTCGCACCTGATTGTTAAAATATAGTGAAGAGTTAATGACTTATGAGAATCTGATAGTACCAGATCCGGTAATTGAGAATATGATATATTAGGATTGGATGTATATAAGGGAGGTAGTAGGTACGGAGAGTTGTAGGGCAGATTGGGAGTAATCAGGAAATAGGAGGGCCAGTTCAGGTATCTTGAATACTTCGGAGTAGAGACTAAAGACAGGAGACAAAAGGGTTCCGTTTATTGTAATTCTTGTCTCTGATTCAGTATTCCTTCAATACTTGATTAGGACTGTGTTTGTAACATGCATCCTTTTTTCATCTTGATTCGTATCCAGAGCTATCAAAACAATTGCTGCTACTACCTGTGTGCCATTAGAGCATTCACGACTTTGTTGCAACCTTATCTTCATCCCAATGCCTTGTGTTAATGCTGTGAACTATTATCTGTTTTTCTTTCTTGTTTTATTTATTTTGTCCCTCTATGAATTTCTTTTCATCTATACATCAGGCTGACAGAGAAGGATATATTGCTATTATCATGCCAAAACCTGCCGATTGGCTTAAGATCAAGGCTTCCCTTGTTAGCCTTCAGGAGTACAAGAAATTGAGGGAAGTTAGTTGAATCAATAGTGTGCCTAATGAATGATGGTACCTCAAAAGAGACTATAAGAATTGTGCCATATTGAAAGGGATTGCATGATTTCCCCGTATGATGCTTCATTAGTGGGGTTCCAAATGCCACAAACTGAATGAAATTGAAACATATTTTGGTGCAGCAGATGGTAAGAAATCGCTTACAGTCTTAATCCGTGGCATTGGTGCCTGCCATTGGCTGGATGGATGATTAGATAAATCTCTCAAATAGCCATCAGCAACCTAGAATGTCATGATATTGGAGCTACTGGGCGACCATTCATTAGGTTTTTCTGTCTCTCGTGTTGTCATTTTATTTCTTTTTTTGAACAATTTAAATTAATAAAAAATGATGATAGTATATGACTCGTGGCTACCTTCTCACCATTTTTTTAAAGATAATTACTGGCCAGTTTTCCTTTTTCTAAAATATAGCTTTACAAGAAAGAAAGGGATGATGAAATTGACAGATTATAAAAAATGAGAACAAAAATAATTGTTTTTAAAGTACAGGATTAACACTAATTTTAATAAAAATGAGAGATTTGAAGTATGTTAATAATAAAACAATATAAAGGGAAAAGAGGAAAGATGAACTTTTTAAAAGTTCCCAGATAAAAATAATTGAAATTAAAGAGATCAACGTGTTACAGGAATAATTAAATGTCAAACCAAAATTTGGAAGCTTTATCCTGCAAATAAAGAGTATAACAACAGACATTATTGGTAACAATATCAAGAAAGAGACAAACTGAACAATTAGAATTCTTGTTATTAGGGGTTTTCATTTTGTGAAATTTTACTAAAATAGGTTGAGGTAAAATAAAATCAACGAATCAAAAAATCTGATTGAAAATTGAAACAATGCAATGGTCAAAGCCACCCGATCCGCAAAGAGAAGAGAATTTAATCATCGTGTGTGAGACCTTCCTCTCCAAAGGGTGAACGTGACAGCGCAGAAGTTTTCATCCAATTTACTCAAGCGCTCTGCTAGATAAACACTTGCAAAAGAGTGGCGTCAATATCTGTTTTCATTTGTTGCTAACGTTGTTTCTCCGTAATTTCTTTCATAACCAGCCTTCTAGATCTGTTTACAGTGAGAAAGCACAAATATATATGTTCTTCAAGCTCTTCCAACATAGCCAGAAAGCTAGATTCGTTGTCTTGAAATTCCTTCACAACCCGCTTCAATATTTCACACTTGCCATTCTTCACACAAATACCAGCAACCTCTCTACAATGTTCAACCTCGCCGTCTAACCTCTTAACCATGCGGCTCATAGTGTCCAACTCATTGATCAGCACAAAAACCCCTTTGGCAGCAACATCAAGTTGTTCACACAGTCTCATAGATTTAGAGTTTCTGTTGAGCCTTTCACGACTCCGCTTAAATCTCTTCCTGATGGCCAAACCAACAAAACTAGCCATACACGGTGCAGCAACCAACCCAACTATGCTGTGAACCGCAAATACCAACAAAGCCACCAGGAGAAGGCTCTGTGAAACCACTAAACCGATTCCTCCAACCTTCTTGCAAACGCGCTTTATGGCTAATGTTCTTTGAATTTTCTCTTTCTTTGATGTTAACATACGTAAAAGGATAATGTATCTGTGGTGAACGTCACGAAACTGCTCGGGGATGATAGTAGACAAAGGGTTATTTTGTAATACGAAGGAAGAAAGTTCTGTGTGAATATATTTTTGGGGTTGGTCATAAGGCGCTGTTTGGTTTAACTTGACAACACTGGCGAGTCTTGCGTAAGCAAGTCGTGTTTGATGGATAGCTTGCAGGATTGTATCGCAACAACGGCATGTTTCCAAGCTGGCTTCGAAGTAGTCCACCAGAAGACGATGCACCTTCATGTTTGCTACAATTTCTTGCGGGGGTTCTAGAAGATATTCAGTAAGGTGCATTTTGAAGGAAGCGCTTCCTGCATTTCCAAGCTCCTCTTGTGCTTTGTTGCATATTTCAACGTAAGACTTTGTTCTGAATGCTTCGAGGTATTCTATCTTCGTGTTTGTGGTGCCGCAAAAACTACTTTCTTCCTGTTCTTTCCTCCGAGATCTACCTACATGGTTCATTTCCATTAAATTAAATTCGTGAAATGGCTAATTATTTCAGCCATGCGAGGAACAAAGTCAAAAAAAGCAAGATCATAAACTTACAAATGCATTGACTAGAATGTGAATCATTTTTCAACATCATATATGTGTATGCACACAAACTAGAAAAAATTATGCATGAAAAAAGTTACGAAAGTTTTGCAGAAATGATTAAACTAACCTGCCCCTCTTCGCAAGAGAGATAACCACCTAGAGTTTGTCATCTCCTAAACACAAAAATAAAGGGTGTATGGATTAGTGATGTAGTTTGAAAGTTTTGTTGTTCTTATCTGTTTGTATGAATAGAGAGAGAAAGAAAGGTGTTATATGTTTCTGGCTTGGGGAGAAATTAAGAGACTAAGATGAAGAACAGAAGAAACCCATATGGCAGCTTGATCCAGTACGTTGATGTGGCTTTCATTACAAGTTATCTTACTTCACACGCTTACTTCTCCTGCATAGATAAACACCAATTTCTCCATTTCTGTAATTCTATTCATCTACGCCATGTAAACTCGATCACGGTTTTTTGGTCATTATTCAAGTTAAATTAATTAGCTTTTTACATCTAAAGTAATAGTTGATGATGTTGTAATCCAAAGGTAGGCCAATAATGATGTGGCATATTTAAAACACTCAAGAATAGAAGAATCATATTTCAAGAATAAAAGCTATGATCATTAGCTTCTGAAAATCAAATCTCGAGACATAAAAAAATGATGAGTGGCGATATTTTTACAACAGAAGACAAAAATTATCATTATATTTTATTTATAAAGTAATTGATTTAAAATAAAAATAATTAAAAAAAATATTATTTTACTAAAGAAGTTGTTTGAATGGATGTTTATCATAGTAGATTCATCTATCTTTTTTCAAAAATATATCTCATACATAAAACTACTTTTACTATTCTCTCTGAAGCACATAAAATATTAAATTTCTCTATCTAATTTTTTCATTGAAGAATTAGTGATGTTTAAATCATTATTTCCTCCAGATTTAACTATAAGTAAACAAAACAAAAAAACTAGTTTCATCATAATTAATATTATATTCCTATCTCTGATGAGTCTTACTTATCCTTCACATAAATTTCAATAAAAGACACTGTAAATAACTGTTTTAAAATAATAATTAATAATATTAACTACTTTTTAATTAGTACAAATACTAATTAATTATACTTATATTTAATTCCAGATAGAATATTTAATAAGATATACATAACTATTAATGGGTTTTACTATTCATTAATCAATAAAGATTTTTATTATTAATAGTGTAAAAACAATATAAAAATAGGATATGTGTAGGAATCTTTTATTTATTTATTGATAAAAAATTATAAAATGAACCATTGATAGAAGTGCATTTGTGAGAACTTTTATATTTTTATGTTTCATGCGTCCAATTTTCTGTGCCATTGTTGTTTAAGATTTTTCTACTTCCATTAATTAATTAGTTGCACAGTGTATTTGAACAAGAATTTGGATTTTATATATATATATATATATATATATATATATATATATATATATATATATATATATATATATATATATATCCCTTCCCCCTTAAATAATAGTGCTATTTATCTTACCTATATTTAAGAATCTAAACTTGTTATTTAAGTTATGAATAAAAAACTTTTATGACATAGTTTAATAGTAGATTTATATATATATATATATATATATATATATATATATATATATATATATATATATATATATATATATATATATGTGTGTGTGTGTGTGTGTGTGTGTGTTGAAATCATTAATTTTTGTATTAATTACATTAAAAATTATATAATTTTAAATTAATTGACAGTGTAGAAGGAATTACATTGACAATATGTAAAAATTGAACTCCTACATTTATTCCAATTTTGTTTTTATCATACTAACAGTACTGATTCATGGTGTTTTATCAAATGCGTTGTTCACATTTGTGCATGGTAATAACCTAAAGTTATATCTGAAAAAAAAAAAAAAAATTGGTGATGAAGCTTTTAATAGGTGCACAAAATGACCGAGACAAAAAATGCTTGTTTGCGTACAGTATGAAGTTACAAAGCACATTTGGCGTTGTTACAGAAAAGAAAAGAAACATGTTAACGTCATTCAATATCTCCCCGTTTGCCACGTGATTTTTAGACCATATAGACCTTGCCATTTCATCATTATTTTAATAAAAAAAAAATATATATATATATATATATATATATATATATATATAACTTATTTTTCTCAATTAAAGGTGTACTTGTAATATATAATTCTTCTTCTATTTTTCATTTTCACCTTAATTAAGTTTGAAGTATATTAATTTTTCATAAACAACATTTTATGAGTTTAATACATAAAACTTGATGGGATGAAGGATATGTTTATACAATGTATATGAAATACATCAATTGTACATAGAACTTTTTTCTTTGTAATATACATTTTACTTTAATAAAATCATAGAATGTTTATTGTTATTATTTTTAACAATATAAAAGTATTCTCAACAACATACAATTTTCCTAAGTCGTGCTTTTCTAAATATGGAGGTTCAAATATTATTTTGACAAACGAATACATTCAAAGTCGGAGATAGTGATTATTTTAGGAAATGTTTGAATCGCAACCCATGTTTTTTGTGCTACTTTTCTTTATAATTTTGTCCCCATCTTCTTGATCATAAACTAAGACCATAAAAGTTTAAAAATAGTGTATTTTATAGAGGAAAACAAAAACATTAACAGATGATAAAAATGAACCAATAGAAGATAAAAAAATGGAACCCACCTGTCATGTTTGGAACGATTTTCTTAAGATTTTGACGTCTAATTTTAATTGATGGTTGACACTTAGATGATTAAATTTATGCTATTTGTAGACTAAATATTAGACTTAAATTATATAAAATCTTATATTTTTCTTATATCTTTTTATAAAGTCATATTATCATGTTCGAGTAAGATTATCTCTTTTAATATATTTATTTTATATTTAAAATTTAATCAATGGTATACAAATTATCTTATTCTTATATTTTTATCAAAACTTCCTATAAAATTATACTGCAATAAGAATATTTCTTTAAAAATAATTATATTTAAATTTTGAGTTCAACGGTTGAAATACTATTAAGGCAATATATTTTGTAAAATATAATGGGTATCGATTTTATATATTAATTTTAAATTTCATAACAGATAAATCTATAACTATATACAAATCCACGTAACACAAATAGCAACTTTCTACACGTGTAATCACCACAATTTTTTTCAAAAAAATCATAAATTAATTTTTTACAAAACATACCTATTTTGTACAAAAAGACAAACTGCTTCTTTGGGCCACAACAATACTGCAAGCCCATGCTTCTCCTCGACCCAAATACTCTCGAATATCTCATATACTCTCATATGCTCCTTTGCGCCGTTTGCTTGCAAGTCTTCTTGCTCTGCACATTTTCTTCGCTCTGCACGTCTTCTTTGCTGCAATCTTTCCTATTTTATGCAAGATCAGTGTCTCAAAAGAAGCATGAAATCTCTTTTGTTGCACGTCTTCCCTCAAGTAGTATTTCCATCTCGCATGTTCAGATAAGTTATATTTTTTATCATGATTAGAGTTCAATATTGTCTTCTTTGACCGTCATTAGGGTTGTATCTAAGGTTTTGCGTTTAAATGTTACCGATTTTGTAAAAAAGGTTACTTGATTTGCTTTGATCTAAGGTTTTTAAATTTAAAAGTTACCGATTTCGGAAAAAATGTTACTTGATTAGCTTTGATCTAAGGTTTTTGAATTTAAAAGTTACCGATTTTCAATCTTTATGTTGTTTACCTTCAAGAGCGAAGTTGAAATTTTTTTCATGAAAAAAGTTTGCTTTTTTATCATCATTAGAGTTCAATATTGTCTTCTTTGACCGTCATTAGGGTTGTACATCTGTTTATACCTATTTCAGGTATAGTTTTATGTAATTTTGCTTATTGATTTGCATTTAGCCCAAGTCTGGAGGTATAAAAATTGTTGTTTTTTACATCATGACGGAAATACAGGATGTCGAGATACATGAAAATGGTAATATCTTCCCTTTACAAAAGTTTTAATTTAGATTACTTTAATATTGTCAACATTTCAAATTTCAAATTTCAAATTTCAAATTCTAGAATACGAGCAACATTTCCCTCTTTCCACCATGCTTATAAATATACATACTGTGATGATAATATTTCTACGTTGAGTGGGTTATTCTCTATCTATTTTTTACATTCGGTTTGCAACATGTCTAATTTGCAAAAAAAGTATCACTCGTTTCGAACTCGGTCTTGAAAAAGAAAATTGGAATATATTGGCAAAGGTCATACGCACTGTGGTTTGTTTCGATTTCACTAAACACAAATTGCCATTTTCCATGGACTTTGTCATGCAAGATATGAAGGTCGGTTTACCATGCTTTCAATACATTTTAAATAATACTCAATTGTGATTTCATTTTCTTAATGCGGGGTGACGGAATTCGGGGTTCTGTTAGGAGGTCTCTCATCTATAAATTTCAAAATGAAATTACCGAGGGGCGTGTGTACTCTATTCAAAATTTTGGTCTTGGATCAAATGGTGGTTCTTATAAAACCACCCACCACCCATACAAAATCAACTTCCAGTTTGGAACCAAAGTGAACTTAGTTGATTGTCATGTTATAATCGAAAATAATGGTCAATATATACCACTCTCGGTTATTACGGCTCCTGGATTTGACACAGATTACTTGGTTGGTAAGTGCATATAACATGATGTTAAATACTCTGTTTTATCATATACTATTTATTTATTATTTAGCATATGGTGTTACTCACATGAAACATCATTTCACAAACACGAGATGTCATGGGAATACTTACGGGAGTTGGGACGGAAAGAGAGCTAGACAAGAATGGTAAAAAAACAAAACTAAACATGATATGCTTAGAGGTCGATGGGT